CCACTGTCACGCCTCAGAAAGGTAAGCTCATTAGTTGGAATTTGAGTTTTTTGCTTTTTCACTCCTCTCCCCTTCTCAATCTCTTCTCTCTCCCTTTTATCCCTAAACAATCTTTCTCAAATGTGCAAAACAAACAGGTAATACTTTAAACTCTTAATACTTAGAGTATAAAGTAGAATTTTTTGTTTCTCAGTTTTTTGATCAGTGTGAACATGAAATCAGATAATTTGGGGCAGAAAACCTGAAGTCAAGGGAGAAAGAAAACTTGGAGACTCTAGACTGTTCTCTCTCATGTGATATAATCAAGACTGTGCAAATGACAGTGTTTCTTAAGAGTCTCCTCCCAGACTCGCCGGTTCTAGAATGTAAAACTCAGCAGTTTGCCTTTGCAGATAGCAGGATTCTTTTTATTGCATTAATTATTTAGCCAATGCTTTCAGATGACCAATTTAGCAATTAAATGGGGTTGTCATTATGAGATAAGCGATGATCTAACATGATTTAAAATAGCAGCTCCATTCTGCTTCTACTGTGGTATTAATAGATCTAAAACATCTTTAAAGATGCATGAGCAGTTTCTTATTTTTTGGAACTGGTAAAATGTCTCCAGCTAGAGAGCTGAATGTTCTGTTATATTGGACAAGTGCCCTTTTGAAAACAAAAGGAGATTTTTTCCTTAAGAAAAGTTATACTTGCTGAAAATAGTTGCAGAATGAAATAAAAATGGAACGTAGTTAAAAAGAAATGACAATTCCATCACTCCTTTCACTTTGGCAATAAGACAGGACTTCGCTCTTTTTTCAAGAAGCATTTTAAAATTCCCTTCTCAACATAGCAACATTAGCACCCACTGGGAATTCTGCCACTATACAGCCCTCAGTCTATAATGGATCCGCTGAATTCAGAGACAGAGCAGTCTAGAAAGTGGCTTAAAACATGCTCAGATTTGTTACTTGATGCCTACCTCCTCAAGAGGTAAGAATTAAAAGGGAAAAAAAGCCCCTCGTGGGATGAGGCTGTCCTGAACCCAGAAGCCTCATGGCGCCTTCCCTGTACCATTTGGATAAGAAACAGTGAACTCTTCATTCATTTCATACTGGGGGACTCTGAGGGCTGCAGCGCTGCCCTAGGGAGACAACACAAGCAAGAATGCATCAGCAGGCTAGTGCAGCAGCAATGATGCAATCTAGGTGCCCGACGGTGCTGTGCTTCCTGAAGTGTTTGACTAGTAACTCATATTCTACACAACACAAAACCAAACTTTTTTTTTTTTTTTTTGAGACAGAGTCTCACTCTGTCACCAGGCGCCAGGCTGGAGTGCAGTGGCATGACCTCGGCTCACCGCAACCTCCACCTCCCAGGTTCAAGCAATTCTCCTGCCTCAGCCTCCCGAGTAGGTGGGACTATAGGCGTGCGCCACCACGCCCAGCTAATTTTTTGTATTTTTAGTAGAGACGGGGTTTCACCATGTTGGCCAGGATGGTCTCTATCTCTTGCCCTCGTGATCCGCCCGCCTCGGCCTCCCAAAAACCAAACTTTTAATCTTCCCTTCCTGCCCCTCACTCTTCCGCAAACATTTAAGACAGTGAAGGAAGATTTGTCTTCCAGGCAAGGGAGAGGTCGGATGGTGAGAGAGGGTGGTGATGAACTAAAAAATAAAGAAAACACTGAGGCTCATCTTCAGAATCAGTTTCTGAGTTTACTGTATCTAAATGCTAAACGCTGGACCACACACTTAGGTTTGGCCCAGGACACTCTTCGGTAAAGTCTCAGAAGATGAGGAGGTAAGATGTAAAATGGAAATGATCCATTTTATAACTTGGAAGTTCCAACATCCTGGAAAATTCAATATGGAGTCATCAGCTGTCTCTGTTAGGGAAACTGAACTCTTTCTCCTGTTTCACAGCCAAATTAGGAGACACGAAAGAGCTAGAAGACTTTATTGCTGATCTTGACAGAACATTAGCAAGTAAGTACATGTCTGATATTAAAAACAAATCAAAACAAAAAAACTAACAGATACTTCTCATAAAGTGTTATAATGTTAACCAACTTGCCCGGGGGCAGAAAGTTTCATCCTAAGGCTTCTATGGGCTTAGAAACAGGACCCTAGTGGCTAGGAATGAAATTCCAGGATCAGCTTGTGTTAAAGTAGACCATGTGCATTTCCAAACAGTGAGAACAGGTCGCCAGCAAACAATGGTGTTTTTGTTTGAGAAACCGAGAGAGAGCAGGACTGGAGCCTTACCATCATGATGGCCTGTCAGGCTTTTCAGGGAAGAAATGAACTGCTTAACCACAAGTGCACTACCCCAACAAGCCAGAAGGGCTCCATCCCATGGGCCAGAGTAATTTCTCCAGGTTAGAGCCAGGGTTTGGTGAAATCTAACTTTAAGAGTTGGGTGCCAAAAGAAAGAATTGGCTTTGGGGGACCTTTCACCAGAGACCCACGCCAGTGACTGAGTGACCTGGATTAGGTATGCATGCTTGCAAGTCTTCTATCTGGGAATTACACCAATCGTTACCCTTTTTGTGTGACCAAAAATGTTGAGAACTGAAGACATCAAATTATAACTGCGCAGGAGGGATCCAGAAGAAGGGACCCTCATAATCTGTATACACACTCTATCTCCAAAAGATAAGATTGCGAGAGCCAGGAGGACCAACTCCAGCTTCTGGGATGGAAGGATCAGCAACTCTACTATGAGGGGTCTTGTTTAGTCACAGAATGGGCTGGGAGAATTTTCTCCCAGCCCCTTAATTTTCCAGTGGAAGGGTTGATTTTCTATGACAAGCATTTTATGCTATTCTTTGCTAAAGAGCCGGGTAAACCCTAAAAAATTAAATCCAAAGCTGGTTATTTAAAAATAACTATGTTCTTAACGCTCTTGCAGACAAACCTAAGCATCAGATAGAAAGTCCCTGTATCATCTCTATTTGCTTGAAGGTTTTAATTGCCTCTTTTCTTACGTACTGCACCAGCCTACATCAGAAGACCAGGGCCTGTTTTGACAGAGATGATTATAATTGAAGCATAATTTGTATTAGACCATGTAACAAGCCTGTCGGCCTCATGGAAATTGCAGTGGGTTGCCCCGCCATTCCAGTTAAACAGACACTCGTCACGTGGGAAGCCTGGCATTGAGTTTGGTGCTTTGATGCATGTCTGAGACAGTGTGATGTGGTAAAGCATAGGGATTGTGAGCCTCTGCGTGGATAATGTTACCTATCTCTCATTTACAGGTATGTGAAATAAGAAGTAGTTTTGGGTCCTTTCATCATAAGGGAGAAGCTTCAGAAAGCCCCCAGGACCTGCTAAAATCACCTACTAGAATCTGCTGCCAGAGGGGACAGAGAGGTGCCCTCAGCCTTCCGCCAGGCCACTCTCAGGCTCACCTTAAAATCAGCCCTTCATCCCATCTTTGGGCAATTTAGACAGTGAAGCTGACTTTGTTTACCTGCTTGCAGTGTATTAGAACAGACGATCCATGCTAATATTGTATTTTCTTTTAAAACATAGCTTCCCTGTAATTTAAAGTGCTTTTATGAAAATATTTGTAATTAATTATGTATAGTTGGAAATAGCAGTAAGCTTTCCCATTATAATATATTTTTGTATACAAATAAAATTTGAACTGGAGTCTGCTTGCTTTTCTTTTTTTTAACGTTAAAAAATATATTTCCATTCAAATAATATTCTACTGGGAGTAACATGCCTCTTGATTCCTTAGCAAGGCCCCTAGTTGTGTCTGATTGTACTATAAAAGAAGACAAGTAAACTTAGTGTTACTTTGAGCTCATTCAGTGCTCTGGAAGGAAATGCTGGCAGACGGCTGCTGGGAAATTTTAATTTGAGGATTGTGATTTTGTTGGAAGTTAGGTTTCTATTCTGTCTCTGCCCTCCTTCTCATATTTTGGCACCATTAAAGGTACCATGGACTCTTTCTTTGAATTAAGGGAAATACCAGTTGTTCTTACAATCCAGGACTTAAATACGAGGGAAAGTTGAGATCGCTGGAAGACTTGAACATCATGGTGCTTTTCTAAGATTCGTGAGTGGAGGAAGATTGCTGGCGCTGGTCTTGATGGAATGTCCAGCCAACCTCAGGTGCAAGGCCTTTCACAGGTGGGCTTTGCACATAGAAGCCAATGACCCCTTCTCCCACTTGCCTTTGTGGGGACTGGAGAGAGAGGCATAAAAATAAAAAAGCTCATAATTTCTTGTCTATGCTTTTCTGTCTTTAAAACCGCCTCTAAAATAACTGGGCATTACTTTCATGATCAGAATAAAGTTATTTTAAAGCTCGAATCCCTGTATTCCTAAATGACACGAATCCAAACATAACTACTTATACTCTTACTTGTATCTTCAAAAGCTAATTACTATATTTGATCTGTTTTTTAGGGAATCAGGAAACTAAATTACACTTTTTTAAACTTTTTCCTTTTCCTCAAGCTTCTGGGAAAGCTTTTGGGTTGAACTCAGATCTTTTTATTTATTTCTTTTTTTAAAAATTGAGATGCAGTTCCCATACTGTAGTGCCCAATTCAGCAGTTTTTAGCATATTCACAGACACTGCAGTCATCACCACTGTTTATCTAATTCCTGTCTCTACGAACTCGTTTATTCTGGACCTTTCATATAACTGGAATAGGTAATCTTTGTGTCTGGCTTCTTTCACTTAGCTAGTATTTTCAAAGTTCATCTATGTGTAGCATCAATCAATACTTCATTCCTTTCACGGCCAAATTATATTCCACTGTGTGGATATGCCACAATTTGTTTATCCACTCACTGGTTGATGGACATTTGGGTTGTTTCCACTTTTTAGCTAATGAATAATATTGTTATGAATATTCATGTGTTAGGTTTTGTGTGGACATATGTTTTCATTTCTCTTGAGTATATAACTAGGAGTGGAATTCCTGGGTCATATGTTAACTCTGTTGAACTTTTTGAGAAACTTTCAAACTGTTTTCCAAAGCTGTTTGGAAAAGCATTTGGGGAAAGTCTGGAGCCCCCAGTAAAAAAGCAGGAAGGTCTCTGCTGTGCCCATCACAGAATGGGAAAGAGGGCTCTCAATAGATCATTACTTTGTTTCTCCCCTGGGCTTCTTGAGCTTGTCTAAGTTTTTCAGGATGATGTCATATAGCACAGCATAAGCACTGTGGATCTCCATGACCATCAGCTGGATGTCCTGGTACTCTGCTTCATCCAGCTCATGCACGAGATGCCAATAATCACCCACATGGGGCTGCTTGGCTGCTGTAGTTACTGCATCGCCACGCTCAGAGAAACGGAGATTTGAGTGTGGAAGCTGGTCATCAGCTCAAATACCTTCTCCTGGACAGCCACTCCAAAATTGTTCCCATCCTCAATCCGAGGTATCTGCAGTTACAACCAGGTGGTGACCAGGTTGAGCTGCTCAGTGACATTCTTGATCTCAGGCTTCAAGCACTGCAGAAGGACCATGATCTTTTCATTGCAGTTCATTGGACCTCAAGGAGGACCTTTGTCTTCAGCTTCTCCTTTCTTCTTGTCATCCTTGTCTTCCTTTTTCTGTTGTTTCTTCCGCTCCTCTTTCTCTTTCTTCTTGACTGGATCAGGCACTGGGATGTCCAATGGGGCCTTCAGATTGCTCAGGTTGCCTTCATTGACAGCTGGCTCCTTTAAAAATGCATCCAGCTCAGAAATCTTCTTGGGGAAATAGCTCCTGAGCAGGTTCTCTCTCTTGGTACAGAGGTCTTCATGAAACACATCTGCCTGTGGGGCACAGGCATCCCTTCAGAAACCTGGCTTTAAGGCCAGTTCATTTGAGAGCAGTTCCCTTAGGGTTATGTAGGGCCTGACCTGGATTCCTCTAAGGCCAGACCTTGGCTTGGGCCTCGGGCTGGACCCTGAGTGTGGCTGTGGCCAGGGCAGGGGGACCTAGCATTGTATGAGGAGCGGTTTTCATTCTTCTTTAAATGTGTTTGGTAGAGTTCAGCAGTAAAGCCATTGGGTTCTGGGCTTTCCTTTACTGAGAGACTTTTTTTTTTATAGCTTTGATCTTGTTACTTGCTGTTGGTCTGTTCATATTTTAAATTTCTTTATGGTTCAATCTTGGTAGGTTGTCCATGTCTAGGAATTTGTCCATTTCTTCTAGATTTTCCAATTTATTGATATATAGTTGCTCATAGGAGCCACTAATGATCCTTTGAATTTCTGCAGTATAATTTGTAATGCCGCCTTTTTCATTCTCTGATTTTATTTACTTGGCTCTTCTCTCTTTTTTAATTAGTTACTCTAGCTAAAGTCTTGTCTATTTTAAGTTTTCAAAAAAACAACTTCTCATTTCATTGATCTTTTGTATTGTTTTCTTCATTTCTATTTCATTTATTTCTTCTCTGGTTTTTTATTATTTCTTTTCTTCTGTTAATTTTGGGTTTCAGTTGTTTTTGCTTTTTTTGTTCTTTAAGATGCATTGTGGCTGGGTGTGGTGGCTCATACCTGTAATCCCAGTACTTTGGGAGGCCGAGGCAGGTGGATCACCTGAGGTCAGGAGTTCAAGACCAGCCTGCCCAACATGGTGAAACCCAATCTCTACTAAAAATACAAAAAATCAGCCGAACGTGGTGGTGAATGCCTGTAATCCCAGCTACTCCGGAGATTGAGGCAGGAGAATCACTTAAAAATTGGGAGGTGGAGTTTTCAGTGAGCTGAGATCATGCCATTGTACTCCAGTCTGGGCAACAAGAGCAAAACTCCAACTCAAAAAAAAAAAAAAAAAAAAAAAGAAAAAGAAGATGCATTGTTAGGTTATTTATTTGGTTTTTCCTCTTTTTTGATTTTTTTGATGTAGGGACTTATAGCTATAAATTTCCTTCTTAGTATTGCTTTTGCTGTATCCCATAGGTTTTGGTATGTTATGTTTCCATTATTATTTGTTTCAAGAAATTTTTCAATTTTCTTCTTAGCTTCTTCAGTGGCCCACTGGTCATTCATGACATATTGTATAATTTCCATGTATTTGTATAGTTTTCAAAATTCCCTTATTATTAATTTCTAGTTTTATTTCACAGTGGTCAGAGAAGATGGTTGATGTTATATTTCAATTTTTTATTTTTGGTGAATGCTACATGGCCCGGGACTCACCTTTCAGAGGAGTGGACTCCCCTCTAGCCCAGGACAGGCCCAGAAATGCCATGCAATAGCCACGTCCTGGAATCAGGAATCCAAAGAGCCTGCCTGTTCTCTATCCCACTGTGGGTGAGCTGGTATCTAAGTTGCAAGACTAAGTTCCCTTCACTTTTTACTCCACTTTTCTCAAGCAGGAATCTTGCCCCATAGCCACTGGAGCTGGGAAAGTGCTGAGTCTCACCTGAATCCAGCAAGACTCAGTGTTTCACCCAAGGCCTTCGACCTTGTACCTGGGTATCACTGCTGGTTATTCAGGACCTAAGGACTCTTCAGCAAGCAGGTGATGAATCTTGCTAGGACTGGGTCCTTTCCTTTAAGGCAGCAGGTTCTCTTGTGGCCCAGGCTATGGCTAGAAATGTCCAGGGGTAAGGGCCTGGAACGGGGGCCTCATGACTCTGACTGGTGCCCTATCCTGCTGTGGCTGAGCTGCCATCCAAGATGAAAGACAAAGTCCTCCCAACTCTTCCATCTCCTCTCCTCAAGCAAAAGGAAGGGGTCACTTTTGAAGCCATGAGCTATGCAACCTGGGGTGTGTATGGGGGGATGATGCCAGCACTCCCTTAGACACTCCAGCTGGTGTCTCAGTAGGTCACGTATTCCCCTAGTCCACTGTCTCTGGGCCCAGTTTATCCCTAGGAGTAGCCTAGGTGTTGCAATCCTTAAGGCCTAGACAGCCTTTCAAGTGTACCTGGGGCTCCAGAGTACTTTAGTCCAAGGTGATGAGGCTTGCGGGAACTCAGGTTCAGACTGTTGGGATCAGAGATTCCCCTCTGTCTAGGGTTTCAACGTACCCTCTCTGGGCAGGCATCAGCTTACTTTGGTCTGGTTTTGCTTTCTGTTATAACAAGGGTGGCACTGAAGTCAATGACTGACAATTGCTGGTTTCAGTGCCTCGCTCAGTGATATGAAGTTAAAACCAGGTACTGTGAGTGCTCACTTGACTTTTGGGTACTTGATTTGTGGGTGCTTTTCTTTGTGTAGATAGTTGTTAAATTGGTGTCCTTGTGTGGGGTGACAACATGTGGAGCTTTCTATTCCATCTTGCTCCACCTTTCCCTAGGTTGTCTTTTTGATGTTTAGTTATAGGAGCTTTCTTTTCTTTTTTTTTTATTGTTTTGAGACAGGGTCTCACTCTGTTGTCCAGGTTGGAGTTCGGTAGTGCTGTCACGTTTGGTAGTGCCTAATTTTTGTATTTTTTTATATAGACAAAATTTTGCCTTGTTGCCCAGACTGGTGTCTAACTCCTGGGCTCAAGCAATCCGCCTGCCTCGGCCTCTCAAAGTGCTGGTATTACAGGCATGAGCCACTGTTACTGGCTAAGTCGTAGGAGTTTACAATGTATTCTGGATACAAGTTTCTTAGCAGATACATAATTTGCAAATATTTTCTCACATTTTGTTTATTGTCATCATTTTTTTGTTCTTTGAAACACAAAAGTTTTAAATTTTGATGAAGCCTCATTTATTTTTTATTTTATTGCTTGTGCTTTTGGTATCATATCTAAGAAACTGTTACCTGATTCAGTGTCACAGAGTTACTCCTATGTTTTATGAGTTGTACAGTTTTAGCTTTTACATTAGGTCACTGATGCACTTTGGGTTAATTTTTATATATGGAATGAGATGAGGTCTAACTTGGTTCTTTTGCATGTGAATATCCAGTTATTATAGAACTATTTATTAAAAAGACAATTTTCCCACTGAACTGTGTTGGTACCCTTGTTGAAAATCAATTGACTATTCATAGGTTTATTTATGGATACTTAATTCTATTTTATAGATCTATACGTCTATCCTTATAGACCCAGTCTTTATTTTCATAGCTTTGTAGCAAGGTTGAAATTGGAAGTGTTAGTCTTTCAATTTTAGTCTTCTTTTGCAAGATTATTTTGGCTGTTCTGGGTCCCGCCATTTCCATATAAATTTTATTTAACTTATTTATTTTATTTGATTTTTGTAGAGACGGGAGTCTTGCTTTGTTGCCCAGGCTGGTCTCAAACTCCTGGCCTTGAGTGACCCTCTTGCCTTGGCCCTCCCAAAGTGTTAGGATTAAAGGTGTGAGTCATCATACCTGGCCTCCACATTAATTTTGGTATCAGTTTATTTATTTCTGCAAAAAAAGATAGATACAATTTTCACAGAGATCGCATTGAATTTATAGATCAGTTTTGTGAGGATTGCCATCTTAACAGTATTAAATCTTTCTTGCAATTCATTTAGGTCTTTCAATTAATTTAGGTCTTTTAACTTTTTTTCGACTATGTTTTGTAGTTTTATTTTGCATATCGTTTGTTACATTTATTCATTTTGATGGTATTTTAAATGGAACTGTTTTCTTGACTTTATTTTCAGATTTTTCACTGCTAACATATAGACATACCATTGATTTTTGTATACTGATCTTGTATTCTATACTCTTGTTGTATGTATTTATTAATTCTAATACATTTTATTTTTGTGAGGGTGAGTGTGTGGATTCTATGCACATATTATTTGTGGACAGAGATAATTTTACTTCTTCCTTTACAATCTGAATGCCTTTATTTATTTCTCTTCTCTTCTTAACCTGGTTAGAACTTCCAGTACAGTATTGAAAAGAAGTGGTGAGATGACACATCCTCATTCTGCTCCTGATCTTAGAGGAAAAGCTTTCAGACTTTTATGATAAAATATGTTAGTTGTGGGAATTTCTTTGTTAATCAAATAAGCTTTTGACTTGTTTTTGAAACTTAATTTTGCCATTACCTGGATCTGGTTCTTATTCCTGCTTGGGAACTTATATCTGCTTTGGACACTTTTTTTCATCATGGCACTAGCAGCTGTTAATTTTCACTGTAATTTCTATTATTAGTCTCTTCTGGAATGGAAGATCTAACTGTGTTTGACTACTGTTTCTTTATGAGCTCCTGGGATCCGGACTCCCCAAGTCAGAAGTGTAGGGTGTGAAGCTTTGTAGCCTGTTGTGAAGAGAAGGTCAGTGGTTTTGGGAAAAGAAATGGATCCCTTTATATAAGAGTGTGTGTGTGTGTGTGTGTGTGTGTGTGTAGGAGGGTAGTTTGTACTCCATAAGCTTATTTGGATAATGACTTAGGAGCAAGTGGGTTGTGAAATCAGTTGCAGTTTAGGGTTCTGGGAACGTTGGAAAAAATATTTTCAGAGTCCGCCAAGGTATGTTTCAAGAAGCACAGTCTTAACTCATTTTTCAAAAATTGCTGCTAAGGTCATATGTGCTTGAGAAATGCTGCCTGCTATGTGCTCCCCTTAGAGACTCATTATATATATTAGTGCATACGTTACTTAGGGGCCAGTCTAAGTTCTGGATCAAAGACCTCAAGATATAGTGGTTCAAAGAGATGGAAGTTTTTTTCTAACAATCCAGAGATGATTATTACAAGGCCGAGTGGGCGGCTTTCTGGTCCAAAATGGCTGCTCCTGATCTTGTCATCACATTTACATCCCAGCTCCTAGAAAGGAGAAATGGCAAGTCAAGCACCGGTTTATTTCCTTAAACAACGAGACTAGAAGAGACACATCACTTCTGCTCACATCCCCTTGTTCAGATCTTACTCATTCCCAGCTGAAAGGGAGGCCAGGAAAAAGTCTCTAACTGGAAGATATGTGTTCAGCTAAAATGTAAGAGTTTCATTATTAAAGAAAGAGGAAGAGAATGACTATTGGAGAACAACTAGGTATCTCTGCCACAGCATGTTGAAGGCTTTGAGAAATCCTGCAGCTAAGAGATCTGGTCTGTTTTTGGTTTTT